TTGCAGATCCTTTTATTTTGGACTTAATTACTAGTATCTATAACACTCGAGTCACACATCACACTTCACACAATAGTATACAGCTTACAAAACAGCTAAGAAACGGTTACACAGCAGCTACAGGATTCAAAGAAGAACTAAAAGCAAAATCAGAGGTGTGAATAGTCACCACACGTGGCAGATTAAAGTATTGAACTGGCAGAGCTTCTTTGAGGAGTGTGCAGGGTTTATTAAGAATGCACAGTTGATTTAAAGCCTGAGTCTGGGCAGCAGGCAGTCCCGGAGCCACACAAAGCAGAGATGGAGCTAAGCTGAAACCTGGGGGCAGAGAGCCCGAATTCATCACCTGTCAACCTTGTGGCCTGATGGGCTGACAGCTTTGTGTGCAGTAACTCTGAGCTCTGTGGTGAGTCCCTCTTCTTTTCTACGACCCAGGTGCAAGGGTGGGGGGGTCATTCTTTACTCTGATGAGTTTAATAAGCTCACAGGCTTTGTTTTCTGATTTAATTTGGTAAGTTTACAGGTGGTAACTTTCATTACCATTATTATTCATTATTTCAGGCTTTATGATTCTACTGTGCAGATGGAAGTTGGTTAGAAGAGGGGTTCTGTGGGGAGGGGTCTGTTTTTCATAAGTGTAGTATTCCAACACCTGGTGGTTACAGACATACACAAGTTAAGTCCCTCTCTGCCTCAGAAGTTGCACTCAATGTGAAACAAGCTCCTGTTTTATAAAATGGAGTCACTCAGGGTAAGGAACAGCCAGAACACTAGTATTCTATTCAAGACGCAGAAACCGAGAGCAGGCCACAGCCTGCTCCATACAGTCTCTCCGAGAAGGATTGTAACATCTTCTAGCAACTTGCCCATGGGCACGCGCCAAAAATGGGTCTCATCACCAGGCCTTAAGAAGCCTCATCCTTATAATGAAAACATGTTTTACTAGATGAAATAGCTTATATGGTTTCCTTAAATACTTAACTTGAATCTAGGCCAGGGATTATTTAATTTCAAGCTGCACTTTCAAATAACTTTAATGAAAAGAGCCCTTAACTGTTCCATACTCCAAACAGTCCAAACTAGCATGTGCTAAATATTAGCATATGCTAAATATCAGCACATGCAGGAATCTCTCAGATTCTCGGTCTGTCTAGTCTCTTATTGACTGTACTGAAGGAATCTGATTTATAGGAAAATTTGTGCTTATTTGGTGATATGAGCTGTAAAACAAAATTAATGTATTAGTTATAAAAATATTTAGTTTAAAACGATTAAAGTTTTCAGTAGCAATATGACTATAGGTGAGGTAAACTGTTGGGTTCAAACTATGAAGGAAAGGAAATTAATATAATGTTCAAAATCTGGATCCAAAGTCAAAGATTTCTTGTGCTCCAATTTCATGTCCCCTACTGTTGACCTAAGCAGAGGGTAAACTCTTGGCTCTCACAATTGGAACAAGTTTATCTAACTGTACGATAAATATACAGCAACAGATATAATTATAAGAGAACAACTTCAAAAGCTCTCTAAACTAATGAAATGAAGATGAACCCAAATCTATCAAATGAAGAGTAAAGCCAGGTGTGGTCACCCACGCTTGTAATCCCAGCTCTCGGGAGGCTGAGAAAGGAGGATCATTGCGAGTTCGAGACCCGTCTGTACTACAAAGTGAGCTCAAGTCCAGCCTGAACTGCATAGTGAGACCCTGTCTCAAAAAGACCAAAAAAAAAAAAAAAAAAAAAAAAAAACAAATGAGGAGTAAAGTCTTTCTAGAAATCAATTGACCAGACTCTGCAAATGTGGGGAACCTACTTGTTTTGTTTTGTTTATGCCAAGGCCCACTTTAAGGTCAATTGGTCATACTGCTGTTTCCCTTACTCACTAGTTCTCCCACCCAGCTCATTACTCTTCATCCAAAACTTTATCTGGTTATTACCATAAACAGATTCAATAATAAGAAATAAAGAGAATCATAGAGACGCCAATTCCACCCCACAGGACTAGTTCCTAAAGGCATGCTTCAGAGCCTTCACTTGCTCTTTAGGCAAGAGTAGAAATAATTGGGCTGCACTAGGTCTATCTTTATGAAATGACTCTGTGGAACAGTCTTTATGTTGGAAAGAGTCTACCTTATCTACCTCTGTGGATTTGTTAAATGAAACAGTAGTTTGTGAAAAGGCAGTGGTAAGCTTTTAAAACCACCACATTTAATTCAGTTAGTTTCACTTCTTGCATACTTCAGTGGACACAGCCACAAAGTCCAAATCAAAAAAGAAAAATATCCATTTGTATCTCTAATAAAAATTCTTCCCTGCAATGTTCAGGATTTTGTGAGTGTTCAGGAGAAACACTCATATAAAAACCTAAATTTGCATAGTACTGTATGAGCAATGTCACAATTTTTAAGTTACATAATAGTCTGTCATCTTATGGGATTGTTTTAATGATGAATCTCTAAAATATGTTCCAGCCTGGCAAATAGACCTGGGCAGTTCTCCTGGGGTTTGCAGAGTTACTGCTGTGGTTTTTACATATGCAAGTCGTTTAAGGCAAAGATCTTGGCTCTAATCCCGACTCTGCTGACGGAATTCACTTCATTTAAATAAATTTCCTACTCTTCAAAATGTGTGAATAGAAAGAGAGTTATTTGTAAGGTCCCTCAGAAACTTCCAGGAAAAAGGAAAGCTCTGGACCTTCCTATTCCTCCTCCAACTGCATACATTCATAGGCTTCTTCACTGCTTTCTTTTCCAGTAGCAAACATCACAGCATCAGAAGCGATTATGGAGACTGGTCTGATTGTTAGACTGCAGGACACCATTGCTGTACATTCCTCCCGGGTGGGGTCAGTGTACAGTGGAATGCGCTTGAGGTCAGTTCTCCCTTCCTGCTTTCAGCCATACAACTGGTCTGGTAAGCTGGCACAAGGCCTGTTTTGTTTTTGTTTCTTTCACAGTTCTGCCCTCTCTCTTGTCAATAGTCTAGCCTGAAGCAGCAGCCCTAGCTGCATCTTGGGTCATCTTAAATATTGAATTGGAAACACATGCACTTTCACATCGAGTCTCTCTCCCTTTCTCTGAGGTTCCCCTCCCTTGCAGCTGACAGATATGATGGATTGGGTATAACTAGGTGGCAGAAAATAGAAATTATGCTCATACAATGCAGTCAGCTTCACCAGAGTTCTGTGTGCTGAGACCTCAAGTTCAAATCCAACTACCAAACATGTAGCTTTGTCAATTTTTTTTCTTTGTAAATTGAGAGTAACACACATGGATGTGCCCTTCTAAAGACCTTCCTAGAGATGATAGATGACTAGGTCTAGCTGGGAGACAGACATTCTGAATTAATTGGCTCCAACACTCTATTGTCACCAATGACATCCCACCAAAGAGACTGGGGAATATATTTTGATTTTTAAATACCATAAACAAGAATTTCACTAGAAATAAGTTTATACACCAGTGGAAGAGCAGAATATAAAAGTTCTTACCTAACAAATGTGTTGAAAAATTCAGCAATTCAACAATTCAAACAATTCAACAATTTGAATTAATTTGCATAAAGCCCAAACTTCTCTCTTATATTTCTATCATATCTCTCTCTCTCTCTCTCTCTCTCTCTCTCACACACACACACACACACACACTCGTGCATGCATGCACAAACTACAGTGTGAAAATGTAGGTGTGTCACAGCATCACAATGACAAGAACTGAGAATATGCTCCTTCCTAGCATAGACAACTGTACCAGTGAGCCTTCCTTCATAGCTCAAAGAAGAAATAATAGAATTAGTCCAAGTTTTTCTTGTCTACACCTCATACACACACACACACACACACACACACACACACACACACACACACAGAGGGAGAGAGAGAGAGAGAGAGAAAGTTCTGCCTATACAAGCCAGCATTTTCCCACCCACCCTATGGGTGCCATGCACTTCAAATACAAGTTAGAACAGCTCTGGACAGTGAATTTTCAAGGACTGATAATATTTTCAGGGAAGAAACAGTTTTCCTCTATGCCTAATGCAGTGCAGAGTCCCTTTCAGCAGGAGCAAAGTCAAACAGGACTTCCTTGTGCTGCTCCTTCAGGGCAGTGACTTATCGATAATGAAACGTTCCAGGTCCTTAACCTCCCATCCTGTCACAAGAATCTTATCATTTCTGCACCGTTGACTGGGGCTTAAATGCTTCTTTCAGGGTAGAAGAAAAGGAAATAAAGCTGAGAGAATATTCAACAGCTACCTCCTCAGGCAGTTATGAAAACTCAACCAAAGGTTCATGTCTGTCTCCCCAGAGAAGAAAAGCAAGAGAGTAGGCAAAATATTCACGAGTTGTCAAATCTGAGTTCTTTCAGTCAGTAATTTCTTACTGTTGTAATAAGTCGTGTGGTCTATGTCAAAGATTTTTTGGTTTTTCTTAACATTCCCTGAGCAATGTTCCAGCTGTTCCCATTAAGCAACTCTAATGTTTTCTGAAGTACAAGAGCATTTATAGCAATTAGAACTGGAACGTTTCTCGCTATTGGAGAGCTTTAATGTAGGACGCCAAGTAGAGAAAGCTTTGGCTGAATCTTCCCAATAACAATGGCCACTCTCCTTCTTGTACCGACTTTTTAATTTTTTTTTTCCAAAATAATAAGAATCTGGGGTTTTATGATGGGCTGGTATCCAAACCCAGGGCAGACCTGGCTTTCCATGGGGTCTCAGAGAGGGAGAACTGTGAGGAGCCACGCTTTGCACTGCACAACAGCAAGGAGAGCCACGGTAAAGGGAGAGAGGAGAGAAGCAGAAGGAAGATCATGGCGGCCAACACCAAACAAGAGGAAATAAGAAAACATGTTCTGGCAGGAGCTTGTCTCCTCCCCTAACATCACCACCACAGGCAGAGCAGGAAACAATAAGGAACGTACCTGGCGACACTGTTCCTTAGGACCGCATAAGAGAAGGAGACAAGGATGCTACACTGGCCACATGTGCTTCTGATTCCATCCGCTTCCCTCCGTCTCCAGGCAAGTGCAAATACAAATGCCTAGACTCTCTCCATATGTTCCTGTAGCCAGAACTGGACTCAAATATTACATGTTATGTTCTATAAAAATTAGTACATAATTACAGTAAACACTTCAATTATTTGACGTGGCATATAATGAAAGCTAAAATTCCTCACCCTATCACCTGATTTCCCAATATGCACCCTTCCCACAGTTTACCACATTTACCAGTGTATTTTATATCCCTGGACAAATGATTCAGATATCTGCAACTATAAAACTGTGACAATGCTTCTTAAAATATTCAATGGCAGTCGCAGAAAACATACTGTTCTATCACTTGCTCTTTTTTTAACTCAATATATTTGGGCATTTTTTCCCATTTGGATCTAATTAGTTGTTTTTTAAGGACTAGTGTTTGGGCAGCAGTTCAGTTAATGAGTCCTCTCCTCAGTGACCATTAGGTAACTTCCAGTTGTATGTTACTACAAAGCAGATTGCACGTAAATTATTGATACATATATCTCTGCATGACTAAGCAAGTATATCTTAGAAGTAGAATCTTTGGCTTAAAGAGTATTCACACTGTAAATTTTGGCAGTCAGATCTCCTTTAACAATACAGGTATAGGTGAAGCACTTGCTTTTATACATCTTTGTCATGCTCGGTACTCACCAGTATGTAGAAATCATATTTTATTGTTGTTGTTTACATTTCTTTAATTATGAATAAAATTGGGAATAAACCCATTAATAAAATGTTACGTATGGATTTATAATGCCTTATGTATACATACATACAAACATATGCACATAAATTCAATTCCCTCTTTGAATGATCTATTCATACCCTTACTTTCTCTTGTATTGTTCATTTGTTCATCTTGGTTTTCAAGAATATATATATGAAATTAGTATGTGTTTATCATATGTGTTTGCATTTCCCATTTTGTTCACAGTTTTCTAAATATATTACAATATTGAAGTCTTTATATTTTTAAATATAAGCCCACCTCATAAACCTTGCAATTTAAAGCTTCTGGGTTTTGTATCAGACCAACATCTTACCTCACCTTGTCCAAAATTATTTTTTTAAATCACTGGTATCTTCTTATAACATTATATGAGATAATTATTTACATTTACATGTTTTAATTATCTAGAATTTATGTTGTTAAAAGGTATGTTATAAAGTACCTCTGTCCTCCACAAAGTTTTGATTGTCCAAATATATATAATTTATTACTATCACAATTTTGTCTTACTAATTTCAAACTCTAAAACATAGGCAGATATATTTCTGGACTTGGTAAACTGTTTCATTGATTTTTGTATGTCTGCCTTGGGTATAAACTGATTTAATTACCATACTTTTATTATGCATTTTAATATCTTCCCAGGTTAATCTTGCCTCATAACTCTTCTTTAATATGTTTCATTTTCAAGCAAGAAAAGTTGCATGCAGTCTTTCTTCATAGGTGGAACTTGGGTTTTCTTCAAAGAATGATTGTGCTTCAGTTCTGTGAAAAGCACTTGAGTGGGGCCTCTGGTTATATAATCCCCTCCCACAGCTCTGGGAAGGACCTAAATGCAGACCCAGATGCAATCTGTTCCATCCTAAGCCAGGGGTTCTATTTAGAAATATAAATTGGGCAGATCTTTTAGTAGATCTGCTTATATCATTTATGCTGTCAAGAGAGAAATGTTTCTTCCCTAGGGTGAATTTAAAATGTCCTGGTCTTTTTCATGTATTCATGTGACAAAGCAATATGTTCCTGTGTCAGCATTCAGGTCTGGGGTTGCAGAGACGGTGAATAAGCCCACATTACAGACAGCCACATGTGGAATCCTGATTATCTTTAGCCTGAACTTTGAATGAAAATGTAAAAAGAAACAGTTCTTGAGCAAGGCTCTCCATCTTTGGCTATGGGCTCTTTATCGCACATTTGGTGTCATTAATGTTTGAACAGAATGAATTAGGAAAATATATGTTACTGAACTGTAATGTTCTGAGTTATTCTCAGGCCTTCTGAGGAAACCTTACTTACTGTGGCCTTTTCCCTTAAGGAATGATTATCCCCAGTCATGCTGAGAAGTTAGTGGGAAAATGTGGATGTGCGGAGGCTTTTACCATTTGGGAGCCTAGACTGCGCATAAGACAGTTGTGCTTAAGGGTGGTTAAGCTGTGGGCAGTAGCTTCACTGAGAAGGCAGTCAAGAACTACAAAAGGTACACAAGGTAGGTGATCTCACAGAGGAGCTTTGAAAGCTGCGTAATGTTGAATCCTTTCTGCATCCTCTTCGCTGTGACTCCCTTCTGAAACTCTTGAGTCTTCATAAAGCCTTGAGCCATCTAACTGGCATTTGGGGCGTGGGGGACAAGGCTGTGTCTACCTTGGGGAAGTGGTCAAAATGCATGAAGCTATAGGGTGAAGAGAGCTGGGCAGAGCAGCTGCCAGATACCTAAAGTAGCAACAACTGCCATTCTCCACTGCTGTAACCTGTGAGCATTTCCCAAGAGTTGCCAGAAACACTTCAGCAAGGGAACTAGGCATACACAGGAATTTCTACAAGCAGTCAAAGGTGGGTACTTAGGGGAAGTACTACATCATATCTGCTGGAGGAGGACAGGTTCTGCAATGAACGCCTAACTTTTTGTAAACTCTATTTTTCCTTATATAAGTAGAAGTACCTTTTTACTTGTTAAACTAAGCTTTTTAAATAGGGTAGCTTCTGTCTCAGTCTCACCAAAGGACACTGTTGCTCATAGTCCAGTAAATCCTTCCAAACAGAAAGATTCTATACCATCAACCCAAACACTAATAAGAACCACTTAAAACCCAGCTTCCTCAGTGGTTCCTTTAACTCCCCTTTTGTCAGACCCAGGTCGCCAAGTTCAAACTGGACTGTAACCTCTGCCAGTGAGCAGGAAAAATTCTCTAGTGATGAATGATCCCGGCATCTCCTCAAGGAAATGGTCTGTGGGAGAGGATATTGTTCTTCCAGGTATTGCTGAATAAAAACAGTTACAGAATTCAGGCTCCTACGAACCTGAGTTATTCTTCTGGAACCTCTCCCTGCTGTCTTTCCTCTACTTCAGAACTCACCCCTCCAGCCCTCCCACACTGCCTGTAGATTCATGGCCTCCAGGGTCTGCTGTTCCTTACAAGCCTCCTTTGAAATAAATTTGGTCCCCTCTAAAGACACCTTTGTATTCTGGTTTTCACTTATGGTCTTTAAGTAGTCATTTGAGTCATATATCATTAATCCTTGTGAATCTATTGAGTTTGTTCCCTGTATTCACAACTCTATACTATGAATACTAGAGATGATGATATTAATGTATATTTTTTCAATATTCTTATTTTTAAAATAATTCCCAAATGCATTACCTCATATAATTCTAAGTAGAAGAAATATCTATGATTTTAAAGAAATTTAAACTTTTTGAGCAATGTCTCATACCAATATACAAAAACAATGAACTTTACACTTTTTGTTATATTTTACAAAATAAGGGAATATGAAATCAGCTCTCCCTGAGGATTATTGGAGGAGGTTGGCATTTAGAATATTTTTTAAATTTATAATATGAATGGATTTTCAAAATTTGTTTTTCATACAATCACAGTTTGAAAAATTTGGAAAAGCATTATCTATTTTTTTATGGATATGTAAATATAGATAAATTATGCTTGTATATGTAAAGTTTAATCTTATTTTAAATATCATTAAAGCATAAATATATGCTACTGTATAGTATTTATAACAATAATTTTAATATTTGTATCCCATTAATATGACTACTATATAATTACAATGTACTGTTATAATCGTTGCCTTATTACTAGATACACAGTCTTCCTAACTTTTTAACTTTTTTATGAAAAAGTCTTTCCATTTTGGTGTCTTTTTAAGATAATCATCACCAAGAAACTTACTTTTAATAACTTATCTTCTTTTGAATTCGAGCTTTCTTGTTAAAAATGTGGTGAAGCCTTGCAAAATTAAGATGATTCATCTTAAAGATTTCTGCTGCAGCTTTCACTTATTTAATTCTACATTCATTCTAGTCCTCCACAAATGTCTCTGACTCCTTTGTTGCTCTTTAAGGTAAACAACATACTTTTCTGTCAACTTTTGATGTACAGAAGTGAACCCATTAGCATCAATAAAATTGAAGTGTCTCTTAGAGCTAAACATAAAAAATAAATCAATAGTGAGCAACACTAAATGCTTTGTCTGAGTTGAACCAAAGTAAAACGTTTTGAGCCTCTGGAACTCCTGTGCACTGAAAAAGATTTAGCGACACTTGCTTTTGTGAGTAATACAGTTGGTTTGCTCTATTTCAATTTATTTTCTTTCCTTACCTAAGCCTATTGCATGAAAACGAGAATGTTCTTGGCTCCCCACCCACACAATACCATTCTTCTACTCCTTTAATTAATCAACCCTCTTGAAATCACTTTTTGTGTTCTTCCTATATTGTTCCAAATCCTTCCAGCAGAATGACCGGTGAGCCGTACACAGCGCTTACTAATATCCCATTGGTGATAGTCATGATAGGAGAAGGCAAATCATGAGCTCCTGTTATGTTTGAAGTTTCACATCCAGAAATGTTTGCTATGGGTTCGCTGCAATGACTACTAGCCATTTTTTCCTTTCAGTGAATTTCAGTGTAAATCATTTAGAGTGGAGATGTGTGCAATTATTGCAGAAACAAAAACCGCCGGACCAAATTTCTCTAGCTAAAAAGTAAATGGTTTTAAAGATAAATGCATTTCCAAAGGTCTTTATATAAATCTCAGGATGATAAATAGAAGTAGGAGTACTTCAGAAGATTGGTTAGCTCTTTAATCTATGTACAAAAAAGGACTGGATAAGAAATTACAAGAAAAATGTGAAATTACTTTTATGTTTAACATTACTAACAAAGGAAATACATGTCCACCATAAAAATCAAAATAACAGAACAGCACAAGGGAAGAAAATAAAATCTGCCAAAAATCCTTAAATCTTTTATGGGGAGGGAACTACACTATTAGTATTATGAATATTTTCAATAATTTTATTATGGTCTGGCTGAGGGTTTACTAAATAAGTAACAGGCTCTATATATTTCATAGCTTGCTTTTTTCAATTAATAATATAATATGAATAATTTCCTGTTAATATTAGGGTCCTAAAACATGGTCTCTGTCATATTGTACATATGACTATATCATAAATTATTGAATTCTTATTTTTAATAACATATTTTTCTATCATTGATAACTTCATATAAATTTGTTGTACGTCTCTTCTTTAGGAGAGATTTTTGGAAAGATTTCTGATTTTGTTGGCTAAAAAGTATGAGGAATTTTAGAAAGCTTTCATAAATATTGCTTATTTTATTTTTTACTCTATGAAAGTTATTATAAGTTTTGTAGCTTTACTAAAATTGTATATTCCTATGGTGTACAATTTTGATGTTTTGGTATATGTGTATGCATTATAAAATGATAGCACAATCAAGCTAATTCATATATAACCTCAGCATTTCTGTGTATGCGATGAGAACACTTAATATCTACTTTTATATTAAGTTGCAAGTATACTGTATACTTGCACCCTAATCTATTTTTTCCTGCTAGTAAAACTGCCACAGGCTGAATAAATTATGAGAAAAGAGGTTTCTTTTGGCTCACAGTTCTGGCCCAAGATGGAGGAATTACATCTGGTGATGATGGTCTTCTTGCTGGTGAAATTCGAAAGTGTCTCAGGGCTTTACACGCCAAGAGTAATGGAGAATGTATGTGTCTCTCTCCTGCTTACACAGCTACCTCTAGTATTTAATAATGGCAGGTTCACCCTGATGACCTTATCTGACCCTAAAGACCTCCTAAAGGCTCCATGTCTAACACACATCCAGATTTAGTTTCTATCCTCTTTATACCTCACAAAGGAGACAACATTCCATTCCGAGTTTCAGAGGGAACAACCTATATTCAAATCACAGCATTATTATTAACTATAATCACTGTGATGTAGAGAAGTTCTCCAGAACTTACTTATAACAGAAAGTCTGTACCCTTTGACCAATATGCCCTCTTCCTGTACTGCAAGTTACTGTTACTACATTTCTACTCTGACTTCAACTCTTAGATTCCATATGTAAGTGAGATAATGAATATTCTTTCCTTGTTTGCCTTATTTCACTTAGCATAACTCCTCAAAATCATCCACCAATGACAGAATCTCCCTCCTCATTAGCATGAAAAAGCATTCCATTATGTAAATACACATATATTTCATTATTCACACATTTCTTTTTTTGTTTGTTTATTGTCTCTTCTCCCTTTGAAATGTAAATTCTGTGATAATTTTTGTTCACAGCTATTTCTGTAAAACTTAGCAAAGTTCCTGGTATTTAATAGATGTTTACAAATATTTGTTGTACAAATCAATCATTTTCAAATATAGTTAGCTAAGGTTGTCATATGAAGTCATTCCTGAGTATCTGTGGAAGACTGGTCCAAGATCTCCAGAGAACACCAAAATCTGGAGATGCTCGTCTCCTTTATATCAAATGTCCTAGTATTTTCATATAACCTGTATACACTCTCCTCTATGTTTTAAATCACCCCAGGATACTTACAATACTTAAAACAGTATAAATGCCATGTATTCCCTGTATTGCTTAGGCAATAATGACAATAAGAGCAGTTTCTACAAATTCAGTACAGAAAACTCTATTCTCTTTAATCTATCTACCCACATCATTTTATTACCCTAAGTGCTAATTGACCTTTAAGTTGTTTGTATATTTTGGCTATTGCCAATGATGCTGCAATAAACATATTTTATCAACACACTGATTTTATTTCCTAAAGCTATATACACAAAGGAAAATAGTGTGATTTTTGGATCCTATAGTACTGTAGTTCTATTTTTAATTGTTCAGAGGAAACTATATTGGTTTCTTGTAACGACTGTACTAACTTGCATTCCCATCAGCCGTGTAAATATGTTCTCTTCTTGTCACATCCTCACCAACACTTACCTTTGGTCATTTTTATGATAACAACTGTGAAGTGATGTCTCACTGTGGCTTTCATTTGGATTACCCTGATCACGAATGATGTTGAGAACTTTTCATCTACTTTTTGGCCATTTGCAAGTCTTCTTTTGAGATATGTCTAATACTATCTTTAATTTTCTTTCTTTCTTTTTTTCTTTTTTGGACTAGAGATTGAGCCCAGAACCTTCACACAGAACTACATCCTCATCCCATTTTTTCTATTTTGAGACACGTTCTCACTATATTGCTAAATTGCTCATTTTCTTGGGATAGACTTAAATTTAAGATCCATACCTCAGTCTCCCAGGTTATTGGATAATAGACATACACCACTACACCCAGATTCACACATTTTTAATTGCGTTAATATTGTTGTTCAACTTTCTTACATACTTTATTTATTAACTGCATATATAATATATATATATATATGATTTGCAAATATTTTCTGCTATTATGTAGGTTTGCCTCACTTTATGGTAAAGGCTTTTTAGTTCTATGTAATCCCATATATCTATTTTTGTTTGTTTGGGTTTTTTTTGGTTTTTCTCCGGTACCGGAAACCGAACTCACCACCTTGCGCTTGCCAGGCAGGCGCTTTTGCCGCTGAGCTAAATCCCCAGCCCCCCATATATCTATTTTTGATTTTGTTGCCTATGTCTTTGGGTTCACATCCAAAAAAATTATTGTCCAGAATAATGCCATATATCTTTTCACCTATGTTTTCTTCTAATGGTTTTACAGTTTCTATTCTGAATTTAAGTCTTTAACTCACTTTGAGTTGCTTTATGCATATGTTTTAAAATAATCTACTTTTGTTCTTCTGTATATCGATATCCAGCTGTCTAACATCATATATTAACGAGACTATAATTCCACGCTGTGTGTTCTTGGTACCTTTGACAAAAATAAATTGACTATATATGCATGGATTTATTTTTTGGCTCCACACTCTGTCCCACTAGTGTATATGTCTGATTTTATGCTATTATCCTGCTTGAACACGGGGAAAGTTGGCATTTATTTGTGTCTTCTTCAGTTTCCCTTATCAATGTATTGTGTAGTTCAATGTACAAATTTTTATCTTCTTGGTTAAATTTATTCTTATATTTTATCATATTGTAAGCAGGATTATTTTCCTGGTCCTGTTTTGGGGTTCATCATTATTGGTATACAAAAATGTAACTGACTTTTGTATGTTGACTATTTCTACCCTCCAGTTTTACTGAATCTGTTTATTCATTTTAAAAGTTTTATGGTCCTAACAGAGCTGGGGTGGTGATTCTATAAGAATTATCATGTCATCTCCTTACAAAGACACTTTGGATGCATTTTACTTTCTTTTTGCAGATTGTTCTAGCAAAGACTTAGAGTAACATGTGGAATGAAAGTGGTAAGAATGGGCCTCCTTGTCTTGTTCCTGATCTTAAAGGAAAACCTATCCACTTTTCACTACTGAGTATATTAGTTGTATGTTTTGTCATACGTGACATTTTATTATGTTGAGATACATTCCTTCTATATCTAACCTGATGAAAGTTTTATTATGAAAGAGTGTTGAATTTTTGCAAATGCTTTTAGTGTATGTGTTGTGATGATAGCATAGTTTTTATTTTTCACCAGTTTTCTGTTCGTGTGGTGTATCACATGTATTGATTTGTGACTATAGAACCATCCTTCCATCATTACACTTGATCATGATGAATGATCCTTCTAATGTGTGTTGAATTTGACTTGCGAGTATTTTGTTGAAATTTTTGCATCAGTGTTCACCAAGATTAGTGATTTTCTCTTCTTGTAACATCCTTGTCTGACTTTAGTATCAGTGTAATGCTAGCTTCATAAAACATATTTGAAATATTCTCCTCCAACATTTTGGGAAAGTTTAAGTATTGGTATTAGTTCTTTAAATATTTAATAAAATCTTGCAGTGAAGTTATTGGATCCTCAGATTTACTTTGACAAAAGGCTTGTTCTTACTCGTTCAATCTCAAAACTTATTATTATTCTGTTCAGATTTTATATTTATTGTTCAGTCCTGATAGACTGTATATGCCTAGAAACATCTATTACTTTCGGTTATCCAATTTGTTGGCATGTATTTATTCATTGTAGTCTCTTATGATCTTTCCTATTTCTGTGATTTTGAGGCAAGATAAAAGAAATAAATATAGATAGAAGATGAAGAAATTCAATTCTTTGTCTCCCTTATTTTACAACTCGGGGTCAGATCTTTTCTCAGCTCTGCACACAGACATTTTAATTAGTTAAAAGATGTCTGTAGTACAAGGTTCATTAGCCCGAAATTTATCTAGTCTATCTCATCCCCTTTCAGGACGGAAGACACCAAGATAAGAGTAACTGAAGTAATTTTCAGGATTTGCACCAACACCTAATTGCCAGCATTTTACAACATGCAGTTCCAGAACTCCTGGGTTGATGCCTAGGAGGCTCCAAACCTACAATCACCTCAGGTTCCAGGAAAAGTAGAGCCTTGCACACTACCCCGTGAAGAGATCCCCTCCCCAAATAGGAGCAATTATCCTATGACAGTCAGTGGAGCGCCCCCTCCAAGTGAGAGTAATCATTTCATGAGAACTAAACCGTCACTAAGCCACAGGATTTCTGAGGAACTACAAAACAAGAACTCAGATACTGATCCGCCAGACCTTGGCTTATGTCAGCTGATCTACAAATATAGCTGCAGCCAGGTATGGAGGCACACACCTGTAATCCTAGCACTCTGGACAGTTGAGGCAGAGGGATGACAAATTCAAGCTCAAGCCTAGGCTAGGCGATTTGGCAAGACCTTGTCTCAAAAAAACGTTTTTAAAAAATGAAAATGAAGGGGGCAGCTGGCGATGTAGTTTAGTGAGAGAACCCTGGACCCAGGATTCCCCCAACTCCACAAAAAAATGGCGTTATGCTTCCGTGAGTGGGCCAGTCTAGACCCCTTCAGCAGAGTAAACCCCCTTCAGTTGCGCAAGTTGGGCTCCTTTCCTATTTATTCTCCCTCACTTTCTAACTCTGCTTACTAAATCTGCCTCTGCCTTGCACTCTGCCTTTGCATGTCCTGAAATTCTTTTTCCTGGATATGAGTTGAGAATCTCCTGGGCAATCTTCAGTTGAGATCCCCAGCTTCTCTCTGGGGGTTCTGCTCAGACCCCACACAATAACAGTTTTAATTTTAATAGCTCCTTTACATTATTAATTTTATTTATTCAGGTCTTGTTGCTCCATTTCTTAGTATAAAGATTTTTGTTATTTCTGCTCTGATCTTTGTTATTTCTTTCCTTCTGCTAACTTTGAGCTTGACTTGTTGTTTTTCTTAAGGTGTAAAGTTACTTTAGATTTTTATGATTTTCTTTTCGTTTAATGTAAGTAGATATCACTATAGACCTCGCTGTTAGCACTATTTTGCTATATCGCAACAGTTTGGCACTCTGCGCTTCATTTTCATTTACCTTAAGGCGTTATCTGATTGCTTTTTGTTTTGTTTTTTTTTGGTTTTTCTCCGGTACCGGGAACTGAACTCACGACCTTGCGCTTGCCAGGCAGGCACTTTGCCGCTGAGCTAAATCCCCAGCCCCTATCTGATTGCTTTTGATTTCTACCTTGATCTATTAGATCTTCAATAGTGTGCTGTCTTATCCACACATTTGTGAACGCTTCACTTTTCTTCTTGTTGTTGATTTTTGGTTTTGTACTATCATGTCTGAAAAACATACTTAATCTTTCAGCCTTAATGGTATTAAGACTCGTTTGTACCAGATAGGGTGATGTGAGTCTGCTTCTGGTGAAGGCAGAGCTCAATTTATATGCAGCTCCATTACCTGAGTCAGTGATGCTGATGACTTCAGGGTCCTCAGTGGGCAAGGGTGTGGTCATGCAGGGAGGCAGAGAGGACCATTGGGATCTTCTCATGGATCTGATTTTTCTCCCACCAGGAAGTCTGGGCAGACTGCAAGCCTCTTGGTGCCAGGTCCGGCTCACATTGGTGCTTAGGGTGATAGCTGCACAGCTGTCTGATGCACTGTGGCATGGAGTCCATGGAATAGCCATTGGAGCCATGGAGGGACTGGGATGCCCATGTTTGGGGAGGCAGTAGTACTGCTGCCCTGGTGCAGGTATCCCCACGGCATAACCGGTAAAGGTGTGTGAGACACAAAGGTTTATGGAACAGCCAAAGGTTAAAATTCAGAATATGGAAATATGCAATTGAGAAGAGCTGCCGCATGGTGTGTAGATAAGCCTGCTGCCTGGAAGTGGGGTTCCTCTGCTGAGGCACGGGCAGGCTTCTTTGAGGGTCTGGGGCATGGGCACCACTTGGTGACTGGGTGTGGTTGCGATTGGTGGAAGTGATACAGAACAGTTCCTTCTGGGGATAGCATCTGGGGCAGCATCTCTCTTTCCGGGGACCGATGGTAGCAAAAGCTAAGAGTGACCTCAGTGACTGACGCTGCTGGTGTCTGCGGTGGAGCAGGCTGCTGCTAGTCACATGTTGCACTGAATGTTAAAGGGAACTGTGAGGAGAGTCTGCGGCTTCCTGGGCTGTCAAGTCTTCAGTGCAAAAACTGCCAGAGTCCTCCCTAGAGCAGGGCCCTGGGGACAGCTGTGCTGTCTCTGCCCTTCTATGTTCCTGTTTACAGAAGCCGCTGCTGCACTGGTCTCCCCAGTGAGTCCTTCTATGCACTTACTCTCCTTTTTATGCTCCACTGTCTTCCTGGAATTTTTTAGTTGAGGAAATGTTCCTACTGTCTGAGAGATTGGATCCTACTTGGAGTAGTCAGCCAAGCTAAACCAACTGGAACTGTTTGCTAGGACTTCATACAGGTGTACCTTGGAGATTCTGCAGGATCCATTCCAAACCAGCACAATGAAATAAACATCCCAATAGAGTGACACACAAAATTTGGGTATCCCAGTTCATATAAAAATTTTATGTATACTATACTGTAGTCAATGAAGAGTGCAATAGCATTATGTCTTAAAACACATATATACCTTAAAGGATATGTTTTTACTGAAAATGCTAAGGATCATCTGCTCCTTGAGCAGGTCTTAGAATTTTTGCTTGTGGAAAGTCTTTCCTTGACTGCTAAGCTTTTATCCATATCTTTATTTTTTCCTTCCTCTTATAGTACTTTCTCTAGAAGTTTATTACTTTTAGAGCTGGGAAGCACAACAGCATGATGCAGGCATCTGTCAAGGCCCTTCATACCGCATCAGGCTATAATGGAAGGCAGAAGGTCAACAGAGAACATGCAAAATGGAACTCGCTATCATGATTACTAACCACCCTCTTTAATAACAGCATTAATACATTCATGAGTAACAAGTAATACAATTACTTGTTAAAGGTCCTATCTGTTTACACATAATGGCAATGAAATTTCAACATGAGTTTTGGAGGTAACATTCGAACTGTAGTATTTCATTCCTGGCCCTCCTAAACATACGTTTTTCTTATATACCAAATAGATTCATTTCCTCTCCAACATCGCAAAGTACTAACTCATTTCAGCATCAACTCAAAAGTCCCAACATCTAGAGTCTTATTTAAATCAGAGATAAATGAGCATCATATACAGTTTATCCTCTGGCAAGTTCTCTCTAATTTTGAGCTTGTAAAATTAAAGCAAGTTGCCTACTTTCAAATACAAAGGTAGACCAGGAGTAGATAGACAGTCCCTCTTCAAAAGGAAGAAATAGGCAGTATAAAGCCAGCAAGGCAGAAACCAGTAAATCTTAAAACTCGAGAATAATCTTTCATTATATGCGCCCAAACCTGGACGTACTGAAGCAAGGCCTGGGGAAGCCTCATCCCTAGCACTGATTCCATACTTCAGTTCTCCCACAGTGATATTCCAATTTAGTAGCTCTGCATTTCTGGGGTCTTGATGACAGTTCTTCCCTTGTGACTCCTCTAGGTTGTGTCCTCAGGGAGGGCTCTCTGCAGTGGCTCTAGCCCCAAGACACGTCTCTGCCTGTACACACAGTCTATCTAAAACATTTTTGAAATCTAAGTAGAAGAAGTCATGCCCCACAACTCTTGCATTCTGCACATCTGGCAGAACAAGCACCACATGGATCCATAAATGTTTATGGCTTACACCTTCTGGGGCAACAGGTTGAGCTAAGCTATATCAGGGGCTGCTAAGGAGTGCTGCACTGAAATGCAGAGAGTAGAGGCCCAAGGTAGCACTGAGCAGTGTACCCACAGAGTGCCCATTGGAAGGATTGTACTTCTTTGTCAAGTCATTTTTTCTTGGGGTTGCATGGAGGGTTCAATGTACAAAAGTTTGTAAATGTGATACACCGCATTAATAGAATGGACAAGAAGCATATGCTGATCATTCTAGATGCAGAAAAGGCACTTTCAAATTCCAACATCATGTCTTGACTTTTAAAAAATCAAAAACTAGATATAGAAGGAATGTACTTCAACACAGTAGAGGGTATGTACAATAAAATCCAGGCAAACAATAAACTAGTGGTGAAAACTTTGGAGCTCTTTCCTCTAAGATCTAGGACAAAGCAGATACTCACTCTTGCCACTTCTGTTCAGCATAATACTAAAAGCCGCTGCCAGAGCAGTAAAAGAAACAAATCAAAGGAACAATACTGTGAATAAGTTAAGCTGTTACTGTTTGCTTAGGATGTACCCTTACATACAAGAAATCCTAAGATTCGACAGAAACACCTGATAGAAATGATAAGCAAATTAGTAAAGGCACAGGATACAAGACTAACATGCAAAATTTTGTAGCATTTCTTTAACAATGAATTTCCCAAAATGAAAATCAAGATAATTATCCATTTTATGAAAGTGATCAAAAAAGTAATATCTAGGAATAAATTCAGCAAAAGAAGTGAAAATCTATATACTGAAACTGATGAAACATTAAAGACAGGGAGATAATATTTGCAAAACAAATATTTGATGAAGGAGCTTATCCAAAATAAACAAAGAATTCATAATACTCAACAGCAAAAAACGAATTACTCAATTAAAAATGAGAAAAGATCTGAGCAGAACCTCACCAAAGAAGATTACAGACACCAAACAAGCATATGAAGTGATGTTAAACATCCTATGTCACTAGATAATTGCAAATTAAAGATGATGCCACTGCACACTTCTTAGAATGACTATAACCCCAAACACTGAAAATATAAAGGTGGCTCATACATAATATCTCCCAGTCTATGGCTCATCCTTTTAATTATTTTAGCAGTTTTAGGGGAATTTTTTTCTTTAAAAGAAAAAAGAACCATAGAATTGGAACTTAGAAGCCCCATATTCATTCAAGTTGAACAATAAATAGACAAAACAAGAAACTATACAAGGCACAATGAAAGAATGAATGCCTTGAAATGGGAGAGATACCAGACGCCACAGTGCAGAACAAAGAGACAGGAAGAGGAGAAGAGGGAAGAGAATGGGAGTGAAAGGTATAGAAATGCACACTTCCTTTTACCATGTTTCCATTAATTCCCAGTATTTACTTGTTGGACGACTTTTGTACATTGCCAAAGATTATAGCATTATAGCATGTCTTAATATGCATAATCTTCTATTTGTTTTAAAGGAGGAGAGGTTTATTTGCCTCACAATCCATAGAGGTTTCAGTCCATAATCAGCTGGCTGCAAGGCAGGGTGGCATGACAGACACTGCAGAGGAGAAACAGGTCATGTCAGGAAGAAGGTAAGCAAAGCAAGCAAGGCACAAGACAAGCCTCTGTCTATCCCTTACATTGTACCCAGTTTTGTAATAGCTAAATCTTGGAAACAACCCAAATGCCCATCAGCTGAGGAACAATGTACAATGGAGTATTGCTCAGCTATAATGAAAGACAAACTGGAGTCTTCATAGGTAAATGGATGCAACGAGACCATACTCATAAGTGAAATAAATCAGACCCACATAAGAAAACATCCTATTGCCTCCCTAGTGTAAGAAACTTGTAATGGTTGATATATTGTGTCAATTTGAGAAGTTTAGAAGTTTAAGTAAGGGACTCAGCAGGGAGCCAGGGTCCTTACTTTGTAAACATTCTCATCCTGTGCAAGAAGAGGGCATGGAAACTGTGTGAGTGCTACACCCGCCCTGGGGTGTGGGGGTAGGCTGCATACAATATAAGAGGAAAAGAGGCTTTCTTTCCCCTATTTTGACTCTTGCTGCTTTTGCTATCTTCTGCTGCCTTGAAGTGTTGCCCCTCCGCCATGCCACTCTGCCTTGGAGCCAGCCGAGTATGGACTGAAACCTCCATAAACTGTGAGCTAAGTAAACCTTTCCTTCCTTAATTCTAGGTGTCAAGTATTTTGTCTCAGCAGTGAGAGAAAAGTAACCAAGACAAAACTGAAACAGCAAATAAAATCTTCTACTGTTTTTTGGTTTCTGTTCCCATGGGTTCTATCACTACTCCATCCATTGTGACATCATTATTCATCTCTTGACATCTGAATTTTGTAATCAGGTAGATTTTTCAGGATTGGCTTACTGAAACCACGTGATTTACAATGCCTATATTAGAACACTGAATTTAAATGATCAGACTGCGAAGGTACTGGTAAGTCCTGTTCCAGTGTCTTGAGGCACTGAGTATTACTACTGAGAAGCCTGGGGCCAAACATGTTTTCACTTATATAAGGCTTAGTTTCTGACCCTTGAATTTTTCTTCCTAAGGTTCAGCAATTTAGCCTAAATATATGTTTGTTAACTAATCTATATCAAAGAGTGTTTTTCTGAAGAATAAACTGTTTTTTCTGCAATTTCATGTTTTCTATTTAGTGAGCAGTTGTCTTTTATTATATTTTTGTTCAATACTTTTCCCATATGTGTAAAATTGCATAATAGGTATGCAATACATACTCCTTCAGTGTTTTTAGATTACGTGTTTGAATACTTTTCCTGTATAATTTACTCTTCTGTATTCTTCATGAAAGCAATTATCCTTGTGTTGATCATGCTTCCCCTGTCTTCAATTTGATCACTTTCTATGATATTTATTTTGTTTGGGGTTTTTTTTGGTACCTGGAATTGAACTCATGACCTCAGGCTTACCAGGCAAGCACTTATGCCATTGAGCTATACCCCCAGCCCTATGATATTTAAATATCTTTGTTTTTCTTAATTTGTTTCTTGATTCCTCAAGCCAGTTCAGAACTCATGTCTTTAGCTTTGTTTTCATAGTTTACATTATTCTTGTTGTTGGTAAAGCTCGTTTTAGCTCTACTGGCTTATTTTCTTTCAGTTTTTCCCTGAGTTCTACTGACACACTATTCCTTGCCTGATGACTTATATTTTCTTCTCAAAACATTTGGAGCTCTTTCGTAGAGAAAACATGGTCAATTTTTTTTTAAATATACAGATTTATTTGTCTGAACTCATGTTTTAGGTAATTTTGTTGCAATGTATTTTTAATCTACATTTAAAATGAAAATAGTAATTCACCTTTAAATAGGCCCACCCATTAGCCCAGGAATAAAGTGGGAGGGGAAGATTACCTAAAGCCATTCACGATGTACAATTCAGTTCACTGTGCTGGGCAGTGTCACAGCTCCCACCTCTCGGGCCATCTGCAGGCTCTTGTGTACACATTTTGCTAACAGTTTTAAACAGAACAGAGGAAGCAGCCATCTGGACACCTTCAGCCACTGCCCAAGAGTGTTGACCATCACATTCCTTGCTAATAAAGCACAAATAGAATATACATAGCCTCTATTCTGGGCCTATTACTCCCAGAAGCAGACAAACTCCCTAGTTTTTTTTTTCAGCCTTCTGTAAGATCAAGAGCTCATAGAGCTAACACTTCTGCTCAGAGCTTTTTTTAAATATCACTGTGCAATATTTCTTACTCCCCAGTGAAATACTAAAATGGTAATGAATATTGCGAGTGAGTAATAAACCCAAGGATAAACAGGGCAAAATTAGTTAGAACGAGAAGATGTGTCACTTAAAGGATGCTTGGGAGAGGCAGAAAAGCATGACTCATACTCAGAATTATGTGGGAGGAAGAGTTAGGTGTATAAGAAATTCTAATATGGGATAAAGAGTTTGAATTTCACAACTGATTGGTGCCACTACTCAGACAATCATCAGTGAAGCTTCAATTACCCACATTCGTCTTCATGGCTCACATTTCCAGAAGCTACGTGGAAAGACTGAAAGCAGGACCAGGATTCCAGTAGCTGCCTTGACTGTTCTGCTTTTTCCCCAAGTACCTCCTCTTGCTGTCTCTGCAGTGCCGGGAATTAGGAGCCACGGTGTGTTCAGGCCGGGAGTCCGGCAGCACGATGAGGACAATGAGGTCAGAGATCCAGAGGGAGGCCATAGCTGCTGCCATCTACTGGAAGGCAGATTTATAGACGAGGGAACCTTATGCTTTGCCCTTAGAGGTTTAGTGTTGCTGACAACCAGGTTCTTTCTATAACGTGTGTAGGTGAACACGGGCTCCTGGCTCTCCACCCTGCTGCTCATCTGATGGGTTTCTTTCACAGTGCCAGGGAGGGATTTCCTTTAGAGATGCTGTCCCTGCCACTGCAAGCTACAGTAGCACCCTCCAATTCATTTTAATAGTCTCCAGTGAATGCCTGAAACCTAAGGTTCAGATAATGCTGAACCTTATATATGTTTTCCTATACATACCTGCTATAAAGTTTAACTTAAAAGTTAGGCACAATAAGAGGTAACAACTAAAAATAGAACAATCGTAACAAGATAATATTTTTTAAAGTTACTTAAAATGTACGAAATGGTTATTTGCAGAATTTTCCATTTAAGATTTTTGCTCTAAGGTTGACTGTGGTTATTGAAGCCATGAAAAGCAAAACGCTGCATAAAGGGAGACCATCACGTCTAACTAGCCTTCTTCAGGATTCCCACTGAGTGAACTGGATCTTGCTACAACTATTGAAAGCTTAAAGATCTTTAGAATTGTAGGACTGGTCTGCAGTATGGCAGAAATTTGCAGCCTCTGTTCTCAGTTTCCTATCTTTCTGGGTCAAGAATACAGTTTAAGGTAAGAATGCCTCATAGATCACAGGTTCAAGTTGTAGCCATTTTATACTTCCTGGAGTATGAAAAGGGCTTTTCTTTTTCCTCTCAGCCATTATTCTTATTGCTTTTCTTATATATTAAGAAAGGAAAGCACTGAAAATGTTTTTATAAGGACATGTGTTGTGGTACGGAAAAGTATCTCCAAAAGGTCTGAGGGTAAAGCTTTGTTCCCAGGGTGGCACTACGGAAGCTGTGGAATCCTTAAAAGGTGAGGCCTGGTGGGAGGTGTTCAGGTCATGGGGGGCGTGCCCTCAGAGAAGACAGTGAGACACCAGCCCCTCCTCTTTCTCCTCTCTTTCTTGCTGGGTCATGATGTGCAGAGTTTTGCTCTTTCATATGCTGTAATGTGCTGCTGTAGGCTCAAAGAAATAGGACCAACCAATCACGGACTGAAATTTCTAGAACTGTAAGCCAAAATAACATTTTTCTCTTTATAAACCGATTCTCTCAAGTATTTGCTACAGTGATAAAGTTTATATTTAACCTGAAACTCTGTAAGTCTGATTTAAATATTTAGTACATTTTGATTGTAATTCAGTTTGTGTGCTCAGAAAGTTTGGTGGTTTAGAGCATGAAATCTCAAATTTAAATCCTTTTTGTATCCCTCACAAGCTCTTGGATTTAGTCTTTATGCTTTAGTTTACCCTGTGAGAACGTGGTAGTTACAGGATCTTACTGAGGAATTTATATTTTAGGCCATGAAATAAGAGTATGATGCATAACAGGCACATGCCTGGAAAAAGTTTTTGTGTCTGTCTGTCTGTCTGTCTGTCTCTCTCTTTCTCCTCTCCTCACCAATCTTTCCATCTTCGATGTCTCTCAAAAACTATTAACATTTTCATTTGTGTATATATTCTAAAATGGACATTTTTGTACAGAGTTATTAGCTTTTTTAGTTGAATATATGAAATCATGTATACTTTATGGGCAATTTAAAGGAATTTCAAGAGTAGTTCAGAGAATGATTTTCATTTTAGGTATTTACATTAAATTTTAACCTCTCCCTATGGTAGGACTTTACTAACTAATAAATTCATAAGATTCTTATCAAGATTAAGTGAACTAATGCTTGTAAAACATCAAGAAATACTACTGGATTTTCCTCCACCATCTCTCAAGTATGATACGTGGACTAACTTCCCTGACAAGATACCCTCTGTCTAGAGAAATAACAAATCTGAGATCCTATGATCTCAACACAAATATGGTTCATGTTTCCTTTTCTGTGATTATTCAGGGAACTGTTGTAGTCTGAATATGGTTTGAGTGTGTTTCCTAGGAGGTCACGTGTTAAAGGCTTAGTCTTTGATATGGCAACATTTGGAAGCAATGTGGACCTTTTTAGAAGTGGGCCCCATTGGCAGGTCCCTATGTCATTGAGTGTGCATCCTTCAGAAGGGTTAAGGTAGTTGCACAGTACCCTTTGGCTAATACTCAAGAGATAGCTGTTACAAAAGAAACAAGCCTGACTCTCCCCTACCCACTTTGGGCTTCCTGTTTTAATAGATGATCTCTTTTTGCCACTCACACATCTGCCACTGTGATACCATCTACCCTAAGACCCTCACCAGATCTAAACAAATGTTAGCCTCATGCCCTTGAACATTCATAACTGTGACCTAAATATGCAAACGTCTTTTATTTACAAAGTTAGCCTGCTTCAAGTAACTTTGTTATAGTAACAAAATATGAGCTAGTATAGGCACCTAATGACCTTCACTAGGAACCATCCCATTCAAGTGGTCATATTTCCTATTAGCTAAATTTTCATGTTTATCTTTATGTAATAGCTGAAAAAATAATTAAGATATTATATCTCTAAATTCATGGCACAGATATCATGAAATTATCCATCCTCAAAACTTCCTGTCTGGCAGTTTAATTCACTGCCAACACAAGCTCAGTTTCTTACTTTCTTTCATGTAGCAATCACTTAAATAATTGAAATAAATTTTATAAGTCATATTTGTCCCTATTTGTACATAATTAACTAATAAATGGAAGTGTTTTCCTGTACTTTGCAGCCATAATATAATAAGTGTTTCAACCAGATAAGTTTAAAATTCAATAAACTCAGAATTCTATGTTTATGGAAATGTTTTAATAACCTAAATTAAAATAATCTATGATAATTCACTCACTTCTTTCAATGGTACATGGTAGCTACAGGAGGGGTACACGCCATGGGGTATGTACTGTATTAAAGAAAAGTCATTTTCTTTAACCACAACAGAAATTATGTTTAATATCTCTATAGATTTCCATATTGACAAGAGAAAATCACAGAAAAATTACTAAACAAATTTGAGCAAAATTTTCTAATGTCATTAATCATTTCTCTTCCATATTTTAAGGATATGAATTTGCTTATTTAAGAATAATCTGATAGAAATTATAGCACTTCTATTTTTAAGAGCAGACAGGATTTATGTCATTAGAGTTCATGATGACATAGTCAAGGCAAGAATAAACAAATTGGTTGCCCTGTGGGAATAACACACTGCTATAAAAATTCAATTAGATGCTGCATACATGCATATAAATGTATTTGAATACGCAATATATAACCTGTAAAATGTCAAAGAAAAGCTAAGGTGTTTGGGTAACAAGTAATTACAAGTACAAAAATTCAGGTCCACAGGGCTATTAAAGGCAAAAATCTGCTAAGCCAACAAAACCACTCTGCTACTGGTCTTTCAGTTCAATAGCAAAATGATATCAAAATGTGAATTGATTCATACATGTTTTCAATTATGCATTCTATTAACATTTGAAAAATGCATAAAATAATTAAGACTAACTTGCAAATCATACTATTAAAAATATACTAATCATTAATATTTTGAAAATGTACAAAGGTATAAAAAAAGAAAATAAAAAGATCACCTGTAATGTCAATATCCACATAAACATTTTAACAGTTTGACACATGTATGTATATATATACACATACATTCATAAATATGGACATATACATATGTTTTTAAATTGAGATTATGCTGCCATATTTGCAACTTCTTACCTGAAGTTCTTCACTCATAATGCTGCCATTCTATTCTTTATGTTATAACTATACTTCCAAACCATGTTTATTCTGGCTATAAAACATTCCTATTAAGACTATAAACTCCATGAACATAGAAACTAAATCTGTCTGTTGACATCACCAATAAGGAGCATGCCATAATATATTTAATCACTTTCCTACTGTTTCACTTTCAGGTGGTTTCCAAGTTTCCACGCCATAGATGTTACATTATCATTAATGTGTGACTTTCCCCAAGTTTTCTTTTTTCTCTGACAGCTGTTTAGTTTCCATTGCTCTCCCACACGCAGAGTAAAGTTCATTTTGCCTAATGATTCTACAAGTTCTTGTGAGACAAAGAGGGAGAGAGGTGGAATCGAAGTTGAAGAACAAGAGGTGTGTAGGCTAGGACTGGGGAGATTTCTGAGACTTGTGGAGGATAAGATGTGAGAGGATAAGATGAGATAAAAAATGATGGAGAGGTCTACTTAACTTCTTCACTATTTTTAAAATGTAAGTATGCAAAGTGAAGTGGAGTCCGATATTTTTGTGTACCAGTACCTGTTGCTTAATATTGGAGTAGCTCAAATTCTGAAACAAAGAACCCCGTACACACACACATCTCAGTGACATCATTAATTTCCCACTCCTGCTCTGTACAATGGGACACTGTGTCATAATGTGGCAATTCAGCCCCTCCTTCTGGTGGATACTCTGAAGGTCTCTGCATCCAGCACTGGTCCTTCCACATCTTGCCCAAAGATGTGGAATAGCAAGAGCATAGAAGCTTCTGTACAAATGGTAATGGGCCCTCAGAGGTGATAAACGTCACGCTTACCGCACTATTACCCAGAACACAGTCACATGTTTCCCACCTGGTGCAAGGGAATGAAAGCATGTAGAGATAGCCAATCACTGCTATCATTCCTTATTCTATGACGTCTTAGTAAAACTGTTACCAAGTATCTATGTGTTCCCTGGCCAAGTGGTGCAATAGGGCCCTGATAAGGCATTTGGAATTTCCTTCCCAGATTTCTGGATCTGGAGTACAGTGACAGAGGATGGAGTTGATTCGCCCTGATGATTACAGCCTGTGAAAAGCTTTCATTTGTTCCTATGACCTGAATACCCATTGTAACACAATACATCTTCCACAAGAGTTAGATGTTTTCTTCAGATGCATGATCTACCCACATCCTCCCAACAAAGTCCTTTTTTGCCTGTTAGTCAAAATGAGCGCTAATTAATACAGAACTTGAATTATTTTGAATCATGTTTGGTTATTATTGTCATTTATCTGTGATTTTGCTGCTCACAGCATCACTTTTGGATGACGATTTTATAAGGCTGACACCAATAATGTGGAGATAAATTGGTTTGTACATAAACCTTTACTCCACTGTTGATTCTTTTCTTAGATTAAATGCCCAGATGTATATTTTTTAGATATTGCAATACTAATTATGTTTCAATCATTTAAATATCAATGTAAAGTCTTCTCACATGATAAGCATCTCATTTCTGCTTTTAAAAAGCAGGATTTTCACCACTTTAAAGTAATAGCAAACACAAGAAACCACTTCCACCCAGTCTAGTGATAATGTTCAAGTTAGATCAATGAAGCAAATCATGGGTGAGAAAATCTTACAGAACTTCTTGATACAGTCTGATCTTTCCGGCGGGAGCTGCCTCAGCTGCAGGAAGCAGGGGGTGACACTGCATCATTAGTGCACCTTTCTGCTGCTCCTTTGGTGTCATCTGTAGTCGGCTCAGAACCGGCTTCCTCTGCAGGCCGTTCCTCTTGTCCCCAGTTCTTCCCTGCTGTCTCCGTGAGGTTCCTGAGCCACCACAAAGCACTGAAACATTATAGGTTTTGTCCACATACATCCGTCAGGTCATTATGAAGTTGCCTGTGAAGTCTTGCAGTCACCTGGAGA